ACAGGGCGAGCATGTTTGGTGTGACGGGGATTCGAACCCGCGACCCTCAGATTGCGAGTCGAGGCGCCCTAACTATCTGGCCATAGCAATAGACAAAAAGAGACAAGGTCATACTACTAAACAATTTGCTTACAACAATTTTTAATGATTCTCATTTTATAATATTCACCAGTGGATCTCCCATGCTCAAATAAAGCTGTATTTTTGTCTGATATGGAGATCACATTTACAGTATAAACTTAATTGGTTAATAGTACATACAATAACTATAATTAATTCAGAATAAAGTCAGAAAACCATAATGTGGCCTTTCTGATTCGGAAGTTTTCGTAAATCGACACATTTTGTTGCAGTCGCCAGAAGCTTCATTTTTAATACTTCACACGCAGTGAATAAATCCACAAGTGACTGCATAAATACTTTTCATTACATGACTCAGTTCAGTATATCTTGGCAGTCAAAATTCATAAGAAAAATTGTACTTCAGAATGGAAATTAAATACAAATGTTACTGATTTTCATACGAATGGCTTAAATGAATAAGAAAATGCCTTTGCTTCAATTAGTCTAATCATTTTAAAGTATTTTGTTTGGATCTTACAGAATATTTAAGGTAATTCTAGCCAATGGGAATTGTAGTAATTAATGAATATATATATATTTTTTTTTTGGTCTTACATGTAAAGTTCGATTGTTCTAAGTAAGTGAGGTATAATAATACGTTATCTTAGTGATCAATTAAATTAAATGGCTAGAAGTGCTTAAACTTCAGCAAGATTGGTAAGAAACTAACTAGGCTTTTAAATATCGAACGGAGATGGTATGTGTGTTGGTGGCGACATCTCTCGGAGTAATACAATCCAAGAACCGATTTACCAATGTACTGTGGTATTTATTATTAGCTATCTAAAAGCTATTTTTAATGAAATATTTTAATTTAATTTTGTGGATAAGAAAACTAGTCTTAAGAAGCAGGATTGGTTTGCTTTTTTGTTTTGTTTTTTACAAAATAAGCAAGAACTACATCTGTAATGTACAGCATGATTTTTGTTGTTATTGTTCAGTAGTTATGTATTTTGTGGTTGTTAATTTTTTATTATCACATTCCAATTGAACCGAAAAAAAATAACAAAACCTACAAAGCGTTATAAGCTGCTATTCAGTGGTTATTCATGTAAAGCCTTGCCATTCGTTACTTCATATATCATGAACATGTCGAGGCAAAGGCTTTCATTATACGGTTGGAGCGTTCTAGATATTAATCTTAAAACCTTCGAGTACAAGAACAAAAGGATTATATAAATAAATGAAATTTGCTTATCAACGTCGAAAAATATTTTCGTAAGTTTTCTTATTCGCCTCCATTTCACTAATATTTAAGATCCTCAGAAGAGAATGCAGGGACAACATCATTAAATTGTTGACAGATTAATCGTAACCACTCGGTTAATTGAATTTTATCTGCAGAAAATATTCTTCAGAGATTTATGAATTATTAAATTATATTTTACAGTATTTATATATATATTTTTTTTTACTGACAATTAAAGTTTGACGCGATTTTTCTGCCCTCTGCTGAAGAGTGAGTGTAACGCATGGCTTTTGCTGCCCGCCACTCGTGGGAAGATTTAGTAGAAGTTAAACTGTAAGCAATATACGCTTAAAAAACACTGGTAATGGTACTGTAATACTAGTAGCACTAAAAGTTACGAGTAACAATGTTAGGCCTAATTATAAAAACTCCAAAATAATAGTTCTAAACATTAATGAGTACTAACAGTAATACATAAAAAAGCTATATACTTGTGTTAAATAATAACCATACTTGCCTTGATTTTGTCATTTTGCTCTATGTTTTTTAAGCTTTTGAATGGAACTACAGTATAATTAATAATGTGAATATTACATTCAATGAAACTGACCGTTCGTATTATGATTATATACACGGTATACTAGTAATTTATGCAATCAGTCTGTCGTTAGTGTTACTCTTATTCGTAATCTTAGACTCCAAGAACTGTATCAGACACTTGATTTTTACTTTTAGGTGCTTTCTCCAAATCCAATGCTAGTTAGCTTTATTCAAAAATTATTGTATAGGAGCAATAAGCCTCGCAATGTAAACTTTGTTCAGTTGTTGCAAAACTACTACTAATAATTCATAATATGATTTCTAATTATGGGCAGGCTTTTAATCTACAACTGTGAAAAATAGTGATGCATCATATGTTTAGTTCCAAGTTTATAAAAAAAGGGGGGAGGAAGGTATTGATATTGAAGAGTCGCAGGATAATTAAAAATATTTTTGCATGTGTCATACTAGTAGTGTTAGTACTTATATGAAACTTATTGTTTTCAAAGTCAAGCTCATTTTATTTAAGATTTACAGTTAAAATGTTGTTAGAATTACAAAATGTCTACAGTACTAATAGATGCTGAATTTACGTGATTTATTACTTGCTTTCTGTTCCATTCGTACATTTCATTCCTAATTTATTATTACATTTCTATAATTCGATGATGCCCTAATGGAATACAAAGATGAAACATAGCTTTAAATTCCACATTTTTCTTGCTGAGTTTAAAAAAACAGTTAATCATTTAATATTCAAACAAGATGATTACTATGATAGTTCATGATGTATTCGAGAATAATTTAAAAGTACTTTTGTGTATATATGGATGTAGATGAAATTAAGAAATGTGTTGGATCTAATTAATAAATGGCTCTCCCCCCCCCCCCCAGTTAATACAAAATCTTTAATGCAGACTATTGTACAGTTTTAGTATGTAATATCCATTGTACTTGTGTATTTTATATGTCCAGAGGAGGCACAATTGAACTTGGAGATGTAACACCCCACAATATTAGACAGTTAAAAAGGCTTAATCAAGTTGTCTTTCCGGTCAGCTACAATGATAAATTTTATAAAGATGTACTTGAGGCTGGCGAGTTAGCAAAATTAGGTAAGTTTTGAATTGCATTCTCTGTAAACATGTGATAAATTTACAACTGTTTCAAAGGCTTTGTCTAATAAAATTCAATTAGCAATTTTTTTGAAGTGGAATCTTAAATAAACCAGTGAAAAAGATATATACATTGAATTTACTTAAACGATTTTATTATCTTAACTCTGTGAAAATGACCACCGACTGTTTTGTGTTATTTCGAGCTATAGATTTGAGACAGACAAACTTGATAATTCTCTTTTTTACGTGCAAATGTTTTTCGCTTATCTGGAAGAGGACTGGTGAAGTGTAGTTATGAATATAGCATTTAAACTCTAAAAGTTTTTCAAATATTTCTTTTTTCTTTAATTGGTAATGAAATCTAGAAAATGTAGATTAATATTTAAATCTATATGTAGTTAGTTGAACTGTGATATTAAAGGCCTTTTGGAAATGTTTAATTTGTTGTGATAAACAAGCTGAATTGTTTGCTACAAAGATGTACAAGTTATTTCACCACTTGTACCTTGCCAAACTTATGTTTCCATGAATACTCCTGAATTAATTATATTTATCATCTCTTATGTTTTGTACTGTTATAATGTTTTGCCAGCTATGTCCAGGTAGTTTAAAAACTCGTTTTTCCAAAGGAACTGGAACTTGTATTTTGGCTAAAGATCGTATAATCTTTTTGGAACCTCTTTGGCTAATATGTGGTGTAAATATGTGTATTATTTGTACGATGATACGACTGTGACAAGATAATTTTCAATTATCTCTAGTCATTCCAAAAGTAATTGAAATATTGTATTTATTATTTCTGATTAATATAAGGTTGTTGAGCCTAATTGATTAGTGTCATGACATACAAAAATAATCGACTGATCAAAACTAGTGTTCTCGATTATTCCAACTACCCAAGTTTTAAGTGAGGATAATCGATTAGTTAAAATATAGTGGATGAATTAGCTCTACAGTTAATCATTTATCAAATTCCATTAACTGCTAAGCTCCAGTCATTTGGTTTCATTTTCCCTAGTCACCTGATAAAGTTTGTCAAGCACACTAACTTCCTTCTTATACAGTTCTTTCTTTGTCTATTCATTTCAAATCGTGGAATTAGTCATAACAGCTAAAACAAATTACCAGTTGCAACGTTACATCAAAGTTGATATGCTAAAGAAGATAATGACTGTTATGTTTATTTTAAAATACTTTTCTTAAAATTTGATACGTGTAGTACAGTTTTTTTTCTGTGTTGTTTCATATGGCTAATTAAATGTGAATATTTTCTGTGTTTATATTTAATTTCAGTTCACATTGAGAATAATATAATATGCTTGTATACTTCT